ATTGTTCACAACTCTTTCAGCATAACTGTTCCAAGTTCCACAGCAACAAACTCTGAGCACACAATGGCTTTTCCAGCCCACAGTTCCAAACACTTCCACAGTCCTCCCGAAAGCACCAAGGTCAGGTCTGTCACAGCAATATCCCATGATCCTGGTACCAATTTCTGTCCTAGTTTGTTTCTCCATTGCTGTGACAAAACACTCTGACCAGTACCAACTTGGGCAGGAAAGGGTTTACTCAGCTTACATCTCCCAGGTCACAGTTCATCTGGGAGCCCAAGGCAGACTCAGGGCAGGAACTGGAGCACAGGCCATGGAGAAACACTGCTTACCTGCTTGCTCCCCTGGCTCCAGCTCAGCCTGCTTTCTTATGTAACACAGGCCCACCTGCCCAGGGGTGGCACCACCCACAGTGGGCTGGGCCCTCCCACATCACTCATCAAGAAGATGCCCCTCAGACATGGCCACAGGCCAGTCCAATGGAGGCAATTCCCCAACTGAGGCTCCCTCAACCCAGGTGTGTCAAGTTGACACTAAAGCTATCCAGCATGCTTGACATGGACACACGACAATGGGCTGAATGCCCTGCCCAAATTGGTGAGCAAGACAGGACTGTAATGACTGGATGCACAGCAGATCAAACAGAACGACCTTGTTTCCTTCAACTAATATTTCCAAACATGTTTCCTAATCCCTCTATCCTTAGATATGGCATCTTTTTGGCATCCCCTCTAACCCTTGCAACAATCCATGATGAAGGCTCCTCCCTCCTTCTAAACAGAAGACAAGGGATGGTTGAGATACTTAAGTTCTGTAACCAAAAAGCTCGATGCATGTCTATTCTCTGTACAGCTAGTGGCCTGGAGAGGTTGGCTCTGTCTTTGTGTTAACTCAGTGCGTGTGTATACAGGGGGATGGGGGGAAGACGGGCAGGGATGCGCCACATAACGGCGTTTCAGCCAACTTTAATGACGGAGTGAATACACAGTAGTGGTCTCCTTAGGTTCCTTTCCCCGGGGATGTAGAAGCCGTTCTGTGTAAACACACCGTGTGCATGTGCATGCATAAAAACAAAACAGACACATTAACAAATTGGCTTGCCCGTGGGCCCGCCAGGTGTAAAATTCAAAATGAGGCTGACTTTGGTCAAGTTTGTAAACTCACAAGCTGATAATGTATGCTCAGAGAGGCACAATTCCTTCCTTTTCAGGGAAATCTCAGTTTAAGAACTTTCAACTCGGGGCTGGAGAAACGGCTCAGCAGTTAAGAGACTTGCTGCTCTTGCAGAGGACTAGTTTGGTTCCCAGCGCCTCTATTAGGTGGCTCACAGCTACCAGTAACTCTAGCTCCAGGGGATCCGATGCCGCCTTCTCGTCTCTGAGGGCACCAACATGCACGTGCACATACTAATATACAAATACATACACATAAGTATAAAAAAAACTTTTAAGAATCCAAACTTTCAACAGTATAAAAAAAAACTTTTAAGAATCCGAACTTTCAAGAGATCAGTTGAAGCCCACCCACATTAGTAAGGATCATTTTTACTTAGTTATTAGTCGGCTATTACAGATATTAACATTTACAAAATTACCTTCACAGCAACACCTACATTACTATTTGATTGAAAAACCAGGCTGATACAAGCCCACGCTACTTAAGTGGAGTTATCCGATATGGGCAGACAGCACTGAAAATGGGATTTCAGGAGAATCATGAGGCTGTTTAGGGAAGTGGGACCCTTTCTCAGGCAGCACTCCATTCCACAGATAACCCTGCCATTGGCACTACCCCCTGTAGGAACACTTAGCATAATCTAGAGAGATCTGAGGGATTTTTTTAAAGTGTGAAAACAGACACAGACTGCAATCTCTCAAAAATAAAAAATAAAATTCATTTATTGAAGTGGAGAAATTTAACACAAGACCCATGTGAGCAACCCCAAAGGAGATCTCCAAGCTCTGGTACGCCCCAATCTTTGCACACCACCCTGGAATGCACAGCTGTGCAGACACATGGCAGCTGGCACAGTCTAGTTCTCAAGATTTGCCGTGTGCTAAGTCTTCTTGTTCCACATATTTGTCCGTCCACTGACGGAGTTTACGATACTGACTGGATTTTTACTGTTCACTGAAAGAAACTGCTGCCTAGCGTCACCTCGATTCAAACCAAAGATCAGGACAAACACCCAGCACCTTCCAGCCTCATTTTTTACTTTTCTCCAATAACGACCTCTAAGCACCATCTATGTTTCTGGCCAGGGAATGACTCAGGATCCACAGAAAAGCAAAGAGCCCCACCAGGCTGGAGCTGGTACAAGCAGGGGGCCAGGAGCCTTAAAGTACTGACCTCAGTTTAAGAGACAGATCAGGTCGCTTGCTTTTCCCCGAATGGTCTCTGTGATTTGTAATGTACTTTGGAAAATTAAATTCGGAGACAGACTTGGCACTGCCCTCCTGATAGCCATGGCCTGCCACTCTGTCTGGTTCCCATCCCAGTAAGCCAGTTACTCAGGGAAGGGAGCAAACCCCAGGTCCAGGGTCCTTGTTGTGTGAAGGAAATATAGTGATGTAAACATGATCTGATCTGAGCTCTGCACTTCCCACAGATGCAAAGCTGTAGTGTGAAAAAATGACACTGCAGAAGGGGAGGATCTGAGAGGCGAAAAGAGCAGGACAAGACAGGGCAGGATTCTCCAAAGGTTTGATCCACCTCAGGCTACAGATCACACTGAAACTCTCAACTTCCTGATGGCAGGCCAGCAAACACCTGCCCATGCCTGGGACTAACTAACCCACGCTCCAGGCCACACCTCTCTGGCCCGGATAGGCACAATATAAATAAATGATGCCACTGATGGGTGGCAGAGAGGACAGCACAGATGGGCCACACTCTTCCCAGTTGATGCCAAGAGGTTACCCCTTAGTAGCTGGGACCCACATCCAGCAACAGCCTCCGAGCACAGAGCCTGTAAGTGGCTCTTGGGCACCACCTCTGGGTTCCTGGGAATCCGGGGCTGAAATGGAGGGACCGACAGGGACAGGGCAGCATGTCTGCTCTTGGGGCATCTGGACGCAGCCTCATTCTTGGTTATTGCTCTAATCTGACTTCTATTTATCTGTCATCAGCAAGGGGCCAGTCAGCGCATAGCAAGACATGGGAGAGCTTGGTACCAACTGGCATAGGGGATGCCAAGAGGGCTCTGACTCGGGGCTCCTGGGGGCTGCAGAAGAGAGGCTGAGCTTGCCCCAGAGCCGTGTACTGCAGGGGATGGGCTTCATCCTCCAACCTGACTCCAAGCTTAACAGCTGCCTAGTGTCCAACCAAAAAGGCACGGACTTTCCTGAAAGAGTCACACTACCAACTGCCCATGCCTCAGGAGAACAGGCAAGAGGTCAAAAAGGGTGCAGGCAACTGCCACAGCCTAATGCTACGGAAGGCTCTGCACCACGCCCTCAGGGCCAGGGGCCCTGAAGACACAACTTGTCTTCTGCATTGGGTCTCAGCCTTAGAAGCTACCCGGCAGGACCACCTCTCCACAGGAGCTTCAGTGCAGGATGCCGTGGTGGAACGCAAGCCTGGCCCCTTCCATCGGCTTGCGACTTCTCACTAAAGCCAGGCTGGTACCTGAGCCTGGAATGGCAGGCCAGTGTCTGAGCCTGCAAACTGCACCTGGCCACAGAGGCACCTATTAGAGATGCCAGTGAGCAGAGGGATGAGAGGCGCCGCCATCCTGTGGGCAAGCAGCGCGTCCTCGTGCCCACACTGTTCAGGCCAGTGGCTACACTGAGAGGCCACCCTTCTCATCCCGTCATCTGAAGTGACTCAGCTGTCTCTGAACAGCAGGAAAGGGCTTCAGCGTCAAGGCCCTCCCAACTTCAAATGCATTCTCTTCTACATAAACCAAGGTTCAAGGTAAGTCCGACCTCTAGGTGAGTGAGAGCCCAGTGACCAGAGTGAAGACACAAAATCCTGTCACACACACGCACGTGCACGCACACCCACTCAACTGAGAGATGGGGAGCCAGCCAATGCCCTTCACAGATCCTCACACCAACAGGTGAACAACAACAGGCCAGGGGATCTTTCTCAGCTACCTCTGAAGTTTGCCTCTCAATCTGAATGTGACCCGGGACTCTGAGATGCTCGGAGATGCACTACATGACAGACACAGGCCACAGTTAGTGTTCAGCGGTTCCTCTGAGGCCCAGGAAACAGGCATTTGGGGGCAGGGAACAGTCTTTGTCCTCTCCCCAGCAACTGTAAACGAGTGATCTTGTGCATAGTGTCTATGAAGGGGAAATCAGGCCCTGAATGCCAGTCTGGTTCCTTACCTATAATGGATGACTTTCTGAGAAGTAAACATGAGTCTTCCTCAACAGAAAGCTGTGACACCTGGCCACCCCATCCCTACCCAGCATACTGGCAAGTACCTCCCAAGTCCCATGAGGATTCAATCGCATGAACGGGAGCCCACATTCAGATCTCCCGTGGAGGTATACGTTTACAGACTCTTGCTTAAGAACTCCAAGCCAGCCAGGCTTGGTGGTGCATGCTGGCAATCCCTGCACTTGGGAAGTGGCGGCTAGAACATCAGGAGTTCAAGGTCATCCTTGGCTATACAGCAAGTCCAAAGCCAGCCTTGGCTACGTGAGACCCTGTCTCAGAAACAAAAACAAAACCGACGTCTGAGTCATCGATCAAGGGGGCACAGGGCTGACACCACCATTCCCTGGACAGTTTTCTCTACAGCAGAAGTGGGGTGCCAATACTGAGGGGAACTAAGTCACCATGCCAGGTCTGAAGTCAGAGTCCATAACCAAGCCTAGGCCTAAATAAATTATAAATATCTTCTATCCAGGCAGCATGTCATTTTCTTTGAAAAACTAACGGCATCAAGAGGATGTTATTGTGACCTGCACAGAGGAATTGAGGGGAGAGGTGGCCTGGGCTTCACCCAAGCCAGAGACAGTCGATGAAAATCTTGGGCGAGTGGGGCAGGCTGTAAACTCCTAGGTCTCCAAGACATGGCTTGGGTAGAAGAGAGAAGTAGGGTATTTGGAAGCTGGATGAGGAAGAGGCCCGGTTTTGTAAAAGAGAAGTTTCCACTTATTTAATCCAGGCCTGACCTAGGAAAGGAAAAAACCGTGAGGCGTGGGATATGAATGTTTTTAAATAAAGTGAGCTGTGCGACAGGAATAATTTAGGTAAGGTGGGTCTGAAGAGGGAGGCCAGTGCTGAGGGAGGAGGAGGGATGAGAGCCGGTGGTGAAAAGTTCTAGGTTCAAATGTGCGGCAACAGCACCCGTCACGAGTTGTACCTCAAGTGTCTGCTACCCCTTTTTTCCCAGACCTCAGCCTCATATAGCTCAGGTTACCCTGGGGCCAGTGTCAGGTGGAGCAGTGCTCAGACAGTGACCCTGCCTTTCTCCAGAGGCTAGACCAGAGGCTCTGGAGACAGGCTGGACGGGGTAGGGGTACACCCAGATTCCTATATGAAGGCACTGGGGGAGTGGGTGGTGATGTGACTGCTCCTCGGCTGGATCAGCTCAGCAAGGGCCTCGTAGGTCCCCACCACAAAGCCCATGAAGCCCAGGATGCTGATGAGGGCGTCCTTGAGGATGGTGAGGGGGCTCATGCCTTCCGAGTAGAAGGTGATGATCTCCAGCAGGGGCGGGATGATGAGGGCCAGGGCACTGCTGCTCACGGAGCCCACCAGGGAGATGACCAGGTCCAGGCGGGGGATGAGGGTGGCCAACACACCTGCACAGAGAGGGAGGACACACATGAGCAAGACTGCCCAGGGCAGGAAGAGATCAGCTCCCCAGCCAGCACATTCAGCATCTGTCCATGTTATGATGGGAAATACCACGGTCTTCTGGCTCTAATCCTTGGTTTTTAAAATTGAGATAGGGTCTTACTATGTAAGCCCAGGCTGCCCTTGAACTTCAGACCCTCCTGCCTTAGCTTCCCAGGTGCTGAGATTACAGGTATGCATCACTCTCCCAACTGGACGTCTGTCTTTGAAGAAAACCAACCAGCTTACATTCTAAGACGGTCTGTCTCTTCCAGAGGCGGGAGGGATGGAGAAAAGGGAGCAGGCCACTTCTGAGGGAGTGCTCACCTCCCTCACATTGATGGACCCACAAATGCGCCGAGGAGACAGGAACATTCCCATCAGCAATTCTCCCAGAAAGAAACTGTGATGAAACCATCCACACTGCGTTTGCACAGCAGGGTAGTCCAGCAGTTCTGCCTGTAGACTGCCCTCCAGCAAGTCCCACCTCTCCACTCTGCCAAGCAGGACAATTCCCAGAACTTCCCCCGACCCCAAGCGTTTGGACAGTGCACAGTACAAGCTTTGAACCTACCTGCCTTGCCAGTGACCAATGGTCTGAAGAGACAGAGCTGGTGACGCCCCGCAAGACTTGCAGTGGAATGTGTAAGACGCTAGAGGGGAGCCCCTGGGGTGCTCTCACCACGGGAGACCTGATGCTCTGTGTGGTGCTGTCCTGGGTGACCTGGACAAATCCACCCACCCACTCTAGCGTCTGGGTCTCCCCATGCCTGGTGTCAGTCGCAGAGTGACTGCTCCTTGAGTTGCAGGGGTAGAAGCAGACACAAGGCAGCAGTCAGGAAACTGAGCTCACGGAGGGCTACAGGAATGTGGCCGGGGGGTGCAGGCTCTGACCTGAGCACCCAGCCTCCCACTCAGCAACAGACAGGTCCTTCTCACTCCCCGACTACCAACTCATGTCAAGCACTTAAGAGAACTGCCTCGCCAGGCGTGGTGGTGCACGCGTGTAGTCCCAGCACTCGGGAGGCAGAGGCAGGCGGATTTCTGTGAGTTCAAGACCAGCCTGGTCTACATAGTAAGTTCCAGGACAGCTCGGGCTACAGGGAAACCTTATCACAAAACAAAACATTTTATGCTGGGCACACGCTTGTAGTCCCAGCACTTGGGAGGCAGAGGCAGGCGGATTTCTGTGAGTTCAAGACCAGCCTGGTCTACATAGTAAGTTCCAAAAAAACACGGGCTACAGGGAAACCTTATCACAAAACAAAACAAAACAAAACAAAACAAAACAAAAAGCCCTGGAATAAACCTAACTAGGGATGAGAAATACCTCTACAATGAAAAGTTTTAAATATTAAAGACATTGAAGAAGACACTAGAAGTCGGAAAGTCCTACCATCGCAGACTGGCAGAATTAACATTGTAAAAATGGCTGTATTACCAAAAGCAATCTACAGATTCAATGCAATCTCCATCAAATTCCAATTCCAATGTCATTCTTCACAGAAATAGAAAAAATAATGTTAAAATGCAAACGGAAGCACAAAAGACCCCCTCCCAAAGCCAAGGCAATCCTAAGCAAAAACAAAACAAAAACCCATAAAGGAAACAAACATAAAAACAAGGCTGGGTACCACTGTGCCCGACTTCAAGTTACACCACAGTCATAGTAATACAAGCAGCACGGTACTGGCATGGAATCAGGTACACAGATCACTGGAACAGTGCAAGAACCCCAGGTACTGGGAAAATTGGGTATCCACATGCAGAGGGACGCAACTAGATCCCTAGGTCTCACCCTGCGTAACAACCAACTCCGACTGGATCACAGACCTTAATGTAGAACCTACAACTGAGAAACTGTTGGAGGAAAAACCAGGGAAACACGTTGGGACTGCGTTCAGACGCGGGTGCTCTGAAAAGCGTTCTAATGCTGAGGGACTGAGCCGACAACTCACAAAAGGAGTTTCATAAAGTGAACAGTTTCTGTGCAGCAAAGGAAACTCGAGTGAAGAGAAGATGGGAGAAAACCTTTGCTAACTACACATCTGAAAGAGAATTAATACCTAGGATATACAAAGAACTCAGAAAATAAAATAAAAAAACCCTAATCAATAAATGAGCTAATAAAATAAAGACTGTTCTCAAAAGAGAAAATACAAGTGGCCAGTGAACATGTGAAAAAATTTCCAACCTCATCAGTCATCAGAGAAATGTCAGAAGTACACTTAGATTCCATCTCACCCCAGGCAGAGTAACAGTCACTAAGAAAACAAGTAACCAACGCTGTCCAGGACACAGAGAAAAGGGACCTGTACAATGCTGATGGAAATGTAGGCTTCACAGTCATTATGCAGAGAGGGGGGCTTAAAAACCCTAAAACTAGATCAACCACATGACTCACCTAGGGTACTGACCCAAAGGACTGCAAGTCAACATATCACAGGTGTACGTTTTTCAATGGTTTATTAGCATATATTATTTACACATAAAATGGGTTTCATTGTATTTCCATACATGTATATAATGTATTCTGATCACATCCCCCTCCTCTACCCTCTGTTCACAATAGCTAAGTTATGGAACCAACTTAGACATCCAGCAATAGAAAAATGGATAAAGAAAATATCTATACACAATAAAATCGTTTCCAGCAGAAAAACAAATTATATCGCTTGTGGAAAAATAAATGTACCCGAAGATCATCAAATTAAGCGAATTCAGTCTCTGACAATATCACGTGCTGTCTCTCATTCCCTCAGGGCTGGCACACGACCAGTGGACCAGGAGCTCCCTTTCAGCACAGCCATGTGTTCTGGGAGAAGAATGTGGCTGCTGTGCCGGGCCACATAGTCCAGGTGCATCCCAGCACCCAGTGAGCTGAGGGCAACTGTGCATGGAGCCTAGACTTCAAATAGGGCATAAAATCCCATCTGTATATATGACGTGAAGTAGAAACGGAGCTGTCTGGGGGAACCAAGGGACTAATGGGGTCGGGGGGGAGGCTCAAAGCACATTACATATGTGTTGAAAACATCCTTATGAAACCCAGTAGCATGCATATGAACACGTATCATAGAATACACATATATAGAGTGCTAAAAGCACACAGGACATGACAAAGCTGTCGGACCACACAACAGTACATGCTGTTACAAGCCATGTGGCCCAGGACACTGAGGTTCCCCACTTTGAGTCTGCTTGCTGACTTGTAAATAAGGTACTGAACTGAAGAATCACGGGTATCTCATCCATGCACAGTTGGGTTTGGCCTGCTCAGGAACGTGTCCTGGGTGTTGCCCTCAGCTCACTGGGTGCTGGGATGCACCTTGACTATGTGGCCTGGCATAGCAACCACATTCCTCTCCCAGAAACACATGGCTGTGCTGAAAGGGAGCTCTTGGTCCACTGGTCGTGTGCCAAGAGAGTGCCAGTTACTCCTCATGTGCCAGCCTAGAGGGAACCAAAGCCTTCACCATCAGACGAAAGGAGCCTGGCAGGAGCTGACCCTCCCAACCCCATCTCCACCTCCCCCAGTGTTTGATGAGCAGACTGAAAGCTCACTCCTGTGTCTACTACACAATATATACAAGAGAAGTGTGCTTTGTAGCCTCACCAGAGAGGCTGAGAGGCCTCCAGCATCTCTCCTAAAGCCAGGCACAGGGCCACACAAAGCCCCTCTCCCTACCCTGGCAGGCGCCACCCCTAAACTGCAAAGTCTGACATGGCAATGAAAGAACAGAACGAGGGGCTGGAGAGATGGCTCGGCAGTTAGAGCCCTGGCTGCTCTTGCAGAGGACCTGGGTTCAGTTCCCAGCACCCACACGGCAGCTGACAACCATCTATGATTCCAGTTCTAAGGGATCTGATGCCCTTTCTGACCTCTGTGGGCATTGTACAACATGGGCACTCTTACTGCATGCACGCAATACACTCATACACATAAAATAAAAATAATAAAGGGGCTGTAGAGATGGCTCAGTGATTAAGAGCACTGACTGCTCTTGTAGAAGACCTGGATTCGATTCCCAGCACCCACATGGTGGCTACGAACCGTCCTTAACTGAAGTTCCAGGGGAATCTGAAGCCTTCTTCTGACCTCCACAGCATTGCATGACATGGGTGCACTCACATACATGCAGGCAATACACTCAATTCTGACTTATGTACAGAGAAATAGCAGCCATCAAAAGAGTGAACACACACTCACACTTGCTCTGGGGGTGGGTGGCTTGTGCTGCCCAGAATGTGATTAGTGCTGGTAAAACCACTGTGTTACTTCTCAGTGTTTAGAAGTTCACCTCCAAAATTCACAATGGTCTTGAACAAATATATAAGTTCATTTGATGGGGACTTGGAGAAAAAAACCTATTTCTGAAGACACTACATACATAAGCTGTAGAAGGAACAAGGAGAAATCAAGTTGGTGCTGATGTCAGAGGCTCATCTGTACTGGCTAGCATCCATAGTGCTGGAGGGCGCTACGCCTGCTACAGAAGGGAAAAATAGTCATCAACTTCATCCAGCTGTGAATCCTGGGAACTACAGTAACAACTGGCCTGATAAGATGTGCCCACCAGAGCAGGGTGGCAGGAATATTGTGGGCATAACCAACCACTCTCTACTTAAGGTCTGCTTCATAGGATGGAGCTCATGCCTGATATTGATGATATCAGGCTTACAGACATGGGGAAGTGGGTAAGAAACTCCAGCCCCACCTAAGGAAACTTTGGCAACAGATGGCTCTTGGCAGGTTAACCAGGCTCCAGTAGATGGACCCACACTGAATGAAGGACATTGAGAACAAATTAGACTGTATAGACCTTATTATATATATACATATATACAGCGAACATTCAATTGGGCAGAGGGCATTAAGGAGGGGTGCAGATAGAGGAGGAGATTAAACACCATCAAATCATATTGTATGCAAATCGCAAAAATGCAATTAAAAAAAGACAAAAAATTACAAAAGCAAAGGAAACTACCACCCCACCATGTCTAACATTATAGGAATAGTTTAAAATCTACCAGCCGGGTGTGGAGGTGCACACCTTTAATCCCAGCACTTGGGAGACAGAGGCGGGCAGATCTCTCTGAGTTCCAGGCCAGCTGGGATTACAGGGAGACCCTGTCTCAAAAACCAACAAAATAAAACAACTCAGAGGAAGACATTTAGGTATCAAGTTTTTATTATTTTCCTTTTTTCCCCCCTCTCTCAGCATTGGGAAGTGAATCCAGGGCCTTGCTTATGCTAGGTAAATGCTCTACCACTGAGCTATACCAGCCTTTTTTTTTCGTTTTTCACCAAAGTCTCACTATGTAGCCCAGGCTAGCCTCATAGTCCTCCTGTTTCAACCTCCCAAATGCCAGGTTACAGATATGTGCTACCATGCTCACCATGGGTCCTGAGTTTTATGAAGGGCTCCCAGGACAGAGGTGGAAGAAAGCCATTGGAAGGTTTATAGTCCAGGCAGTTATAAACCAGTGTTTCTCAAGCCTAAATGTGCATATAAACCTAGTATCTTGTTAAGCTTTAGAATCTTGCTTGCCCTGTAGATCTTAGAGGGCCCAGTCTTTGTTTCTAATGAGGTCCCAGGTAGTGTTAATGCTGATGGTCTAGGAATCAAATTACAGAGTTGTGGAGATTCAGATAGTAATAAAGTAATAGAAGAGTTATAGTTGAGGTCAAAAGCATTGTGGGAAAAAAGGCACTGACTAACAACTGTGGAACTACTTGATAGTGACAGTGATATCTGAGTTAGCCTTGGAAGAATTTAACTTAGGACTGGAAGAGGGAGAGGGGAGCAAGCATTCCGTGCTCTGGCACAGTCTGGGCAAAGGCAGCGTTAGCTTGACGGTGAGAACTTACTGAAAGTTTGCTCACTAATGATGCTGCCCTTCCTCACTGTAGCAGAAGACTGAAGTATGAGAAGTAGTCAGATACCGAGAAGCCCTCCTATTCTGATCTAGAAACTTCTATAAGATCTGCCTGGCTGGGATGTTCTACAGCTACACAGACTTGCCCAAACAAGCCTGCTCACTGACAGTTTGGTGTTATTACAACTCACCAATAGGTTTCTGAAATTCTCACACCTAACTCATGAGGCCAACACCAAGAGAATTACGGCCAACTGCTGCAGGACTGGCTTAGTGCCCTAAGGAAGACCAGACAGCCTTCAGCCCAGGCCTCTAGACGTCCCCCAGGGGAAGTGAGTCCCCCACGGGCTCTCCTTCCCAAGCTCTGGGCTTACGGTGCCCGGCTTAGCTCATTTCCAAACATATGAGTTGGGTGTGCATCCTGCCCCATAGGAAAACTTGAGATGAACACCTCACTCTCAACGGCAGTCTGCAACAGGCGACACATAGCCCTCGCGGAGGTTGGGGAGAACGAAAGATGAACTCCAAGTGGGGTTTAAACCTGAAGCTGGCCCAAACCCTCCCTGTTTTCCTTAGAAACAGAGATTGAGGAAGAGGAAGAAAAGTGAGGAAAGCATCAGAGATGGAGATAAAAACAGACTGCCATTAAAACGCATTGGGAACCATTGAAAACAAAGACATGATTCACCAACAGACCTCAGACCACAAGAGCAGGAGCGGAGGACAAAATTAACACTGTGGCACATCCACACCCGAAGGGCCTCTACCGACGCCTGCAGTTACTTCAAAGTCTCCAGGGAAGGCGGAGAGCACGAAGGGGCTATCTCCCTTCAGGGGATGCTGAACCAGAACGGATCATAGGAGACAGACAGGGAGAACAGCACATGCACTTGAACATCAAACACTGCCGGGCCCTGTGAGCGTCCCTCAGCACAAAGAAGGGAGGTAGGTCCCCAGACAGAGCCGGGGAAAGAGATGCAGAAAGTCAAGAGGGTCTAAGGGCAACATGAAGCCTGGAGCCAGGGATGGCTGCCTCCTTTGGGGTGGGGTAGAAGTAAGTCAGGCAGGAAGCAAGGCAGCTGCTTTAGGGACATTTTAAAGACAAACCTAGTTTTCCTAGAGTGTTTTTGGGGAAAGTCAAGTTATTTGAACTCTCCACATCCTTTCTTCCAATGCCCTTTAGATTCAAGAACTGGCCCTCAGAGCTGACGTGACAAGCCACCGTGTACACAGAAGTGGTCTCTTTGACACTTAAGCTAATCCATCCACCAGGGAACACAACTGAGTGCCTCCACAGCTGCTGCAAAGGATGGCCTTCGGACCCACAGTGTCTCATGAGGAAGCAAGGACCATCATGTTCCTCCCTTCCTCCAGTCACTCCAGGCCTGCCCTAGCTGAGCTGTCCCCCGGGCTGTTTCCACACTGGTCCAGGGGAGGACCTGACATCTGCCAAAGAGTCACAGGAGAAGCCAGACATGTGGGTAGAAGAAGCCAGAGTTCTGGGTGCTAGGAGCCTTCGGCAGGGTTGAGGGAACCCCAGATGCCCACCCTCTGCCCTGTGCCAGCCCCAACCTGGAAGAAATCCTTAAAACTGTTCTCTGTCAAATTCGAAGAGCAAAGTCACCTAGGGAGTTTTTTCTGTATAGATACCCACAAGGCTGTCCTACCCACAAGGCTGTCCTACCCACAAGACTGGCCTACCCACAAGGCTGGCCTACCCACAAGACTGTCCTACCCATAAGGCTGTCCTACCCACAAGGCTGTCCTACCCACAAGACTGTCTACCCACAAGGCTGTCCTATCCACAAGGCTGTCCTACCCACAAGGCTGGCCTATCCACAAGGCTGTCCTACCCACAAGGCTGTCTACCCACAAGACTGGCCTACCCACAAGGCTGTCCTACCCACAAGGCTGTCCTACCCACAAGGCTGGCCTACCCACAAGGCTGGCCTACCCACAAGACTGTCCTACCCACAAGACTGGCCTACCCACAAGGCTGTCCTACCCACAAGACTGTCCTACCCACAAGGCTGTCCTATACAAGGCTGTCCTACCCACAAGACTGGCCTACCCACAAGGCTGTCCTACTCACTGTGCTCTGCTTGAAGTTAAAGGAGGGTGAGCCAAGTTTGGCAGTTCACACCTATAATCCCAGTACACGGGAGGGGAGGCAAGAGGATTGTTTTGAGTTCAAGGCACATATGAGACTGTCTCAAAAGCACAAAAGTGACGGTGTCACAAAAGTGACAGACATGATGGTGCACACTTACAATCCCAACATCGAGAGGTGGTGGCTGGAGGATTAGAAGTTCAAGGTCATCTTTGGCTACATAGCAAGTTCAAAACTAGCCTGGGCTACCTGAGACCTCTCTCAAAACAACAACAACAAAGAGGACAAAAGCAGCATGTGGCCTGAGGGCTGACCATGAGGCAGGTCTTAATCCAGGCCTCGTGTCTGCTGGGACGGTGTGGACGGCCTCCCGTTGTCCTGCTCATGCCCAATAAAAGTCACCTCAGTCCAAGGTCTGAGCAAGTACCCTAGACAACATCCACATCTTTCAACTCAAAAACACTCAACTTCCATGCAATTAAAATTCACGCTGGGTGAGGTGGTACAGGCCTTTAATCCCAGCACTTGGGAGGCAGAAGCCAACAGATCTCTGTGAGTTTGAGGGCAGCCTGGTCTACAGAGAGACTTCAGGCCAGCCAGGGCTATATAGAGAAACTCTGTCTCAAATAATAATTTTAAAAAATAAAATTTCTATTTAGGACTGATGGTTGTGGCTGAGGAAGAGAAGAAAGTTATATAAACTTAATCATGAGTCCAAAGATAGAGGCTAGGACTACATAATTAAAGGAAATTTCCAGGAGGTCCCAATGGAATAAGCAACAAGATTCTTGCCCCTAACCAGTAAAACAATCAAAAAGCTTAATATAGCAAAATTAAATAAGCAAATTTATATTTCAAGCACTTTAATTTGGAAAACAACTGAAAATCACCTAGAAATTCAAATAAAAAACTGGATCAATCTGTCCACAAGGTTCCCGGCCTATTAACACACAAAAGCTATGAGAGGGGGGAAAACGTTAATTTAAAAAGTCTTACCATATCCTTACTTCAACTTCTAACTCAATCCCTTTGGCGGAGGGTTGTGGGTGAGAAGATACAGAGATAAACAGCCAGGTTACTCACCAGGCATTTGAAGACTAATATACAAAAATACCTAAGATTGTCTCCCCATCTCAAAATGAACTATTTGAAATAAGCATGTATCTTCAATTAAAGTAACCAGTCCTTCACACAGGTGAAGTTCTATCCGTCCATCCCTGGTCTCATGATATAACCCAGGCTGACCCTGAACTCCTACCCCTCCCCGGTAGGGAGGAGAGGGGATTACAGAAATGTGCCACTGTGCCCAATTTATATAGTGCTGGGGATCGAACCCAGGTTCTTCATGCCTGTTAGGCAAGCATTCTACCAACTAAGCCACATCCCCAGCCCTCTGCAGTGGGTTTTAGATGCTCGCCCATTTTAGATGGGATGGTAACAGTGCATTTACCCCATTGCACTTAGACCACATCTGTAAACACGCCCTCAGTCCTGGGTTCTTTAGGGCACCAAGAACTGTTTCTTCACGCTCCCCGCCAGCAGTGCAGCTGTGTGCCAGGTTCTCATGGGGTAATTCAGGTGTCCTCCAGACTTTAAGCCAACACAGCAATTATCTCGCCTTCTACTCACATGTCAGGCAAACCATCGCAGTTCGCACGCACAGGTCCACCAACAGCTCGCAGTGCTCAGGTGCCCGGGACACAAAGAACGGGATGATGATCTCAGCTGGGACGTAGAACTGGAGCGCATACGTGAAGAAGATGCCTATGGAGTAGAGCAGCTTCACCGACTGGTACAACCTGCAGACGATGGGGTGCCCTCAGGAGCCTGCTCGGCACGCTCTGCACCCCAGACTGAGTGCAATGTGGCTCCTGAGCCCTGGAGACGCAGGTCAAGGTCACCGACCCACACAGCCTTCAGATCCACAAGCTCCCAGCCTGGTTTATCTCAGAGACACACTTGCACATGTTCACAAAAATGTGCAGTCAAAACAGGTAGGATGGTTCAGGGGGTGATGGCACCTGCCTGATGACCCAGGTTCCAGCCCCCCAAACTCACATGGTGGAAGGTGAGAACTAACTCCCACAAGTTGTCCTCTGCCATGCACACATGCATGCATGAGCGAGACACACACACACACACACACACAAACACACTAAATACAAATAGTGCCTCCATGTAGCTTTTAAAAATGAGGCAGCAAGCCAGGAGCACTTAAAACTCCCAGCACTTGGGAGATGGAGGCAGGAGGATCTGGAGTTCGAGGCCAGACTCTGAATATAGTGAGTTTGAGGCCAGCCTGGGCTAACTGAGGCGCTGTCTCATAAACACAGCAGACAGACCTTCAGGTGCTGACAGAGGAACTAGCTCCAAGTATGGGGGAGGGGCAGCACAGAGCAGAATGGTATAGGCCAAGCGTTACAATCTGTCAGAAGGGGAAAAATGGAAACAACCCCCCTCCCCCATTAAACACCTCACACACATTAAGTACCTCAGAGCGACACACTGCAATGTGGGGATGAGGGATGGAGTGTGGTAAAAACGCTCCCTGTACATCCTTTGCATATTTGGAATCTCTACTATGTGCACAGGCAGATATCCTTTCAACAATAAAAGTCCTCAGAAAAACTATTAGACCCTAACAGGCCTACTTCTTTGCTTCCCATGCAATATGACGCTCCTTAGAATCAGCTCATGGTCAGGGAGGAATCATGGGAAGGAACACAGGCCCCTCACCCCAACAGAGGTGCCTTTCTGCCACACGCTTACCGTGGGGCACTCCCAACCTATGACCCCAGGGCACAGAGCTTCTGGACCTGGCTTGAGCTCCATGGTCTATCAGACCTGAGCAATGAGGAAAGCTTCTGGCCTCTCCTGGGATTGATTTAAATGTCTTATGCGTACAGCGAGGACCGGCTAGCTCTGCAGTGGAACTTAAAACCTAGAGGCAATGAGAACACCCTTGGGAAAATTAAATCTGGTAAAAAACTCACTTGCTAAGTGTAGATAATAAAAATTCTGTGGAAAAGAAATTCAGCTATCCAGGCAGTATGGTGGTGCACACCTTTGACTTTGATCCCAGCATTTAGGAGGCAGAGGCAGGCAGATCTCTGTGAATCCAATGCCGGCCCAGTTTACATAGCAAGTTCTAGGCCAGCTGGGGCCATGCTCTGACCAAAGCTGCCTGAGCCCTCCAGAGAGCTGCTGAGCTGGAGGGGGGGGGGGGGGGGGGGAA